AAAAATTAAAATAATCAATGGAAATTCTAAATATAACTTCTTGCATTTGTAATGGTGAATGCAGTTAAGCAATGATTATATGGTTATAGAAGGAGAGACTGCATACCAACAGCAAAGAACATGGACCGAAACCAGGGGCGGAGCTAAGCCCCAAAGATGTGATGCGGCAAGAATTTTTAAATTTTCTAATTTATTATGCTTGTCCTTTTAGATTTTCAATTTAGGTGGGGCAAAAATTTTGCTTTCATAAAAAATTTCTTGAATTTACATGAGATAATTAGCACCAAAATAAAAATTCAGTTGGGGCAATTGCCCCACTAAGCTAGTATGTAGCTCCGCCCCCGAAACTCTTTTTGGGTAAAATTAAACCACACAAATTAAATGTCAGAAAAATAAAAACAAATATCCAAATTTTCGACCTTCGCCTCTCCAGAGCATACAAGTTAAACAAAATACTCTTACGATGACTAGAAAACTTTGACAAACCGTAAATATCAAAATCACGAATTAACACTCCCTTTACTTATGTGAGAAATCAAAAGGAATTTTGTTGAAGAACTATATCGTCACGAATGAAAAGTTAGGCGATTAAGAAGAAATTGAGAAAGAAGTGAGATATAGTGCCACAATGGCTGAAGAATTCAGATAAAAGACAGAACAACCCCATCAAATTGAAACGATAACATATATAGGGCAACTGAACGGCGGCAAGTGTAGCAACGGGTTTGTATAGTCCCATCATTTAAAACCCAATTGAATATTGGCTCTTTTATAGATAGACTTAATTCATAAAATTATGTTGTCCTCTATCATTTTTTCCTTTTGTGGTGGATGTACTCTTAATCACGATGTACAAGTTTCTTCTACATTGTTCGATACTAATTCTTCAAATAAATTGGCTCATTATCGAGTATGCATTTTGTTTCGTCTACGACTTCACTAGCTATGAAATATATATTCTGTGAAGTCCACACACTTCAGAAGATCAAACAAACTAATTCTTTACAAAAATAAAAAGAAGAATTACTCTTATTTTATAATTCTATTAATTTACTCTACAATACATAGTATTGACAATATATAACTTCATTCTTTGTTTCTCCATTTGAATTTTTCTGTCAAGCTATTGATTTGATAGACGTTTACATCTTGCAGCTTAATCGTGTCTTCCGAAAGAAAACATAGCCTTTGGTCCTTTCGTAGTCACCATTCTGCTGTCCATGCTGATTAAATTTTTCCCAATCAAATAAAAGGACAAGATTAATTTCCGTTTGATATTTTCGTTAGTTATTCCCCCTCCTTTGCAACAGAATTCTCCACTCTTCTCCTGTTGTCTTATTTTCAATTCCGATGTTTTAGTTTCCCTTTTTCTTTTATATATATTTAAAAATTTGATATTGTTTTGAAATTAGGTTATGTGTGTTATGATGATTATGACACTCTTCATGCTTGCCTACCTGTACCTTTGTAGTCCATTTTCAGGCTTGTTACAAATCCTTTGGTTATCACGCTGAACTTCCGGATAATCTAATCGCAAAATTATACATACAGACGCGGACACAAGTTATAATTTGTCTGCATTATCTTGGGTGTAATCATTTCAGTTTTTGGAAAATGCAGCGAGGAACACTTTAAATACTTCATGCAAAGTGCTGAATTACAGTTATCATTTCCTTGGGTTTTCTTGGAAGAAAAATTACTTCTATTTGGAAGGTGATGAAATGATTATCCAAGAGAACATCACGTGCTCTTTTTCAACATGTAGTAAGAAATTTAGCCCATAAACAGAAGTCAATTTATCAATAGTAAGCATGGAAATTTCAAGTCTTTAGGAATTATTGTTACAAATTTAGTTCTGGTTTAACTGTCCTTCTTTCTATTAGAATTGATGAATAATACCCGTCCAGATGAAAGAAACCAAGACTCATGGCATGAATTCTACCGGTCCAGATGAAAGAAACCAAGGCTCAAGATGAATAATACCGGTCCAGATTAAGAGGGATAAATGGTTTTTACTATTTCAGCAAACGGATCATAGCCCGGATGGAATGAGACGTTTAAAATTTAGATTTTTGAAACTGAGAATGACCCTGAATATGTGTCACTCAAGGTTTTTAGTGATTGATGCTGATGAAGGTTATTTTGTGGAGAGGCCAAGTACTCCTCCTTGTTTGTCTTTTATCTCATTTAAATTCGTACCTTTAATTTGAAGTATCAGATGTTCTTTTCTAAGCGTTTCTGCTCGGAATTGTGATTTGAAGGCCCGTCATGATTATGATCAGAAGCACATGATGCTCTATTTTGTGTCTCAATTAATATATGTGAACACAAATGCTTATCATTATTGCTCTTTAATCCCTTTGTAGTATTCCGATTGAACTTGTGTTTAAAGAAGGAAGTGTTCCCGTAACAAAGATACACTGTTGTTAAAGGTATAAGGGGTCCAAACCCATGTCTTTGAGAAATGTAGGATAGACGAAAACATGCCCAGGACAGAGAGCTAGTTATGGTGGCCGGAAAAAGTTTTCACTAGATGTCATTGAATTGAAACACACTGGAGCAAATTAAACCAGAAACAAATATGGCATTTCGTTCATCATTGTATTCATGGTACCGGATAAGCCGAAATGGAGACCCTGTTGTTAGACATACAAACCAGAGGAGCATCGATTCTTTTTAATCAATCTGAGTGGTGCAATAAATTTTTATAGTTTCAGTGATGAATGCTTCTTGATTAGATATAGAGTTTAAGTTTTGTCAATTTTTGATGTATAGTTATGGCAGTTACTTTAAAAAATGCACGGTAAACTATTCTTTTTTCGTTTTAAGCTTCATACATGAGCTGTTGATTATTTATAGAAAACAAACTTTTTTGGTTATAAAAATTAATGAATCCTCATTGTGTACCAATAAATAAATAAATAAATAAAATGAAACCTCTTTTATTTTTTCTACTTCCGGAACTTTGGAGAGGTTCTTGCGGTCCGCTGAAGGTGACAACATCGGAAAACTTGGAGTATCATGTTTTTTACCTTGACATTTATTAAGGAATTAATTTATTTGTAATAATGCGCTCAACCTCAGTTTTCATTTCGGGGTGCTCTAATATGCTAGAAAAAATAAAAGGGTTATAGGAATTACTATTCCATAGTGTTTTGGAGAAGGGCGTCTTTTAGGAATAAAAACTAGTTCTATAATTTACTATAGAGTCAGATTGTGTTAATGTTGTATTTTACTATACATTTTTTTTTTTGGGCTGGGCGAAAACTTTACATATTAATAGACCTAACCATCATTGGTAAGTGACGTCGAATAGGCAACCAGATAATCTCGAACTTAAATAATCTCATACTTAATTAAGTGTAAAGGTTAATTATTCAACCAAACATACCACGAAATGCCACTAGAACACATCTTTTCCGGCATTAATCATCTAGGAGAAAGATTTCCAAACCCAAGCAGAAATTGTTTTTCCAATAATCCCATCTGTGTCATACTTTTGCTTAATTTACGTCCCAACTTTTTCTCACTTGTAGTGTTTAGATCACTAAGGGGATATTCAACAGCTTCCCGTGACTTTCTGTAGCATCCTGATCTCTTCTTCAAACGTAAGCAAAAAAGGTCTTCGCTGAGTACTTCAAGGGGATTGATTTACTGGATATTGTTTTCCAATTGTATCAAGCTTTGACAGTTGTGTACTTGGGTTAAGAATACATGGACGCAAATAACTCGTCCACCATATCCATCACCTCTGAATAGTGTTCTTTGATTTCCGTTTCCATTTCAAACTCACAAATGTTTATGAGCGAAATAAAGCTCAGCTCTGACAGCATACTTTTGGCAGCATTTCTGGCAGGCTCAGGTAATGGTAATAGCTTGGACTGCATCAGCTTCGCTTACATTATGAAGTATGGTTATCTGAACTTCAACCTAAGAGAAGAGGGCCAGAAAAGGATTTGTCACCCTTGACTAAAAATGCACCGAAGGAAATATGTTAAATTTTTTTTATAGGAATCCGTAATGATTTTTTTAAAAAATAAAAAAATTATAACAATAATATTCCTCAGAAATGCAAACTACAAAATATGTAATGCTGAAGCTTCCCCAAACTCAACAAACCCCAAGCATACAATCATTCATTACATTCAAGAAAAAACAACTTTAGTAAATTAGTAATGAAATCCACAACCAAAAACTTAAAAATAATAATAATAAAAAAAAAAATCTCATACTAGCTTGAAACATGAATTATTGCATATTCCAATTAAAATTCCCGAACCAATACTAGTGAAAGCCCAAGACCAGAACCACCAAGGGAAAAGGAGTGTCATCAAGTGTGGATAAAACTGAATCCCGTCCACTGTGTTACTACGATTGAATTATTATTCATATAATTCTCTGTCTCAAAAAAATAATACAGTAGCATAATATTATTGGAGTTTATTTATTTTTTCCAATTAAAGTATTCTAATCAAGTGAAGTCATTTGAACTTTGAAGTTTCTCCACTAAGAACACAAGCTACAATCTTGTTTGACTATTTGATGATGAGTCATCCAAATAATGAAAAGAAATATGGCTGTTTTTTGGTCAATTATGTTCGTGTTCACAAGTCAATATGGCTGTTTTTTACTTCTCTAAATCGCAACTAATTTTCTTTTGTTTCTTGATTCTGTTTTCCTCTTTTGCGAAACTTTTCTTGCGTCATTTATTAGTACTGAATCAAGTCCAAATTTAAACCTTACTTCAAAACTTGTCTTTACATGTTTGCGCCTTCTTTCCTAGCTGTACTATTTAATGCTAAACTTTGACCCTTAGGGGAAAAGTTGAAATCTATAAAGAGATAGTGCCCTTGTTCGTTGCAACGCGAATAAAAGGCATACAATCCCACAAGTTCAAAGCAGGTGAAGAGGGGTTAATATTACAGAGGATCTTTAGAATCAAACAGTGCTTATTTAAACGTTTTAGAGAAGAGTTGTTGAAAGAAATTAAACAAGTGAAAATGCCAAAGCCTAAGAGACAGTTGACCATGAACCAAGATCACGTGAAGGAAACACCAAAAATGAGAAAGATCGTGATCTACTGCGAAGACCCGAATGCTACTGATGATTCTTCATCAGACGAGAAGGAGATGATGAGTCCAAAGAGGTTTGTTCGAGAGATTTTCACACCGATTTTGGATGTCCAAGTTGAGTCTTCGTGCCAAGAGACAAATGGAAAGGAGAAAACCCCAATTCCCATCTGTAAGAAGAAGAAGGAAAAGAAGGGTTTAACTAAACCTCCGAATTCGGTTGAGGCAAAACCTTGTTCCAAAAGATACAGGGGTGTTCGGCGGAGGAAATGGGGGAAATGGGCTGCGGAAATATGTGATCCATTTAAAGGGAAGAAGATTTGGTTAGGCACATTTGACTCTCCAGAGGAAGCGTCCAAAGCTTACGAGGAAATGCGCTTAAAATTCGAGGCTATGGGTCATCAATATCCGCCTGAGAAGTGTTCAAAGGCGGTTTTGAAGACTCCCAATCGGAATAAAACCGTTGGCTCTGTCTCTGAGAACTTTGCAGCTGAGAGTTTGGTAACAGGTGCATCTCCCTCGTCAGTGCTGCAATTTGATGAAAACAACAAATTGCGCGATCTGGGCTTATTGTCGGATGAAAACAACATTTCACTGGCAGAAATTGCGAGAGGACTAGAACTCGATTTCGGGATGAACTCGTTTCTCGCGGGAGAGGACGAGTATGGAGAGCCTCTGGAGGATTTTGTGATTGATGATGGTGCTTTTGATGATATACCAACCTATGGTTTTGAAGGTGATCTGCAATGTGTTCCTCCTCTTCCAGATTATGATTTTGGCTCCGATTTCGGGGCTATGAATGACGAAAACTTGGGTTGGATTGATGATACCAGTGCATAACCTCCCAACAATCAACAAAATATGGCCATAATCGGATCTTAATTTGAGCTTTAAAGTTTTTCAAGTAATAGGAAAGAATCTATTATGCTTAGTTTGCCTTTTAATATGAAAGATTTTGACCAATAAATTTTCGTACTACTTTCAAAATACTGTACTCGTTATTTGACCGGCTAATCTCAATTAAACTAGCATTTATCAGTTCTCCTCTGGTGGGAAAACGGGAAATAAATGTGTTTTTTAGGGGGGCAAGGCTAATTTTACGTATTTCTCGGTTGTGTTATGAGTTCCAAATTTTGTACTATCCTTTTGATATTAGCATTTAGCATTCTTTGAGTTAATAGGTTAATTACATGCTGTCCAATATCCTCCTTCACTCTCATGTCCAATATTCTTCTTACACCTTTTTAAGCTAGGTTGGTTCATCGAGCCAGGGTTCCTTATGTACTTACGGTTCTGCTTAATGAACCCAAATTCGAAAATTTCAGATCTAAATTAAATCATTGAATTGTAGCCACATTGGGACATCCACCAAATAAAATGATAGAATCAGAAAAACAAATCATCAATAAGAAAAGAAAAAAATGAGTTAAAAAACTGGGACATGACAATTATTTACTCTTGTGTTATATATTTTAGAAAAGTTTTGAATATCAACATTTTGTGTATCTGCTTAATAAAAACTTATTGAAATTATTAATACAAATATTACCAATACAAAGCTTGGCAAAAAAAAAAATGAATAATTTTTTAGCTAATAAATATTGGACATAAATTGTAGGAATCCCAAGATTTTATGAATTAAATAATAAGTACTTTAGATGATGTTTAAAAACTTATTCAAGAAGATAGATTGTCATTACAATTTTCTACTAAAATTTCAAAACAAAAAGAACAAAATGCAAAAATACTACCCGGATGGTCAGTAAATTGTTCGAAAGTCCGCGATTTAGTCAATACTAAATTTTAATTCATGGAAAGGTTATTACACTTATGAACAGTTCTTAAAATTGGTCATTCCGTTAGTTAACGATTTTCCATTAATAACTAGTTTTTTTTTTTAGGTAAAAGGTAAATATTTTGCGTATGAAATCTGTCTTATATTTACACCCATATATAGGACTCTCTTCCAAAAAAATTCAACCCAACAAAACATCCCATACCAAAAGCCAAACCTAAATATTACAAAAGAGACAAACAATAGCGGATCTAGAGTGGGGGCGATAGCTCCCCTGGTCCCACCCTAGACTTAATATATATTTGGCCATTAATTTATTATTATGTTTTTTTCACCCTATATTATTTATCTTCAGGTGTTTTTGGCTAAATGTTTGTGCTTATTTAATTTTCTTTTAATGTTCTATTGGGCTAGAAAAAAAAGTCCAATCTAAGATAGATTAGGTCACATATTATTTTTAAAAATAATATTTAAATTAATAATTATATTAATATTCATATATTTAAATTTTTCGTCTAGATCCGCTATTGGAGACAAAGACTTTAATAGATACTGCTAACTAGTCTTCATCTTCACCAACTTGCCACGCAGTCTCCATTTGAGCTCATTCCGGATTGCCAGGAACACCGCATCCACTGTCCTTACTTGCCCTGCATGTATCTTCCGGTTCCTACTTTGCCATATATGGTAGTATCTAGCTACTATTGCTGCAACTACAACCTTTCTTCGCAGACTCTTCCCTTGCCATACATAATCCATTCTGCTCCAGTTCTGCAGTTTCAGCCAAATTTCAGGAAACTTCAACCAATCTCTAATTTTCTTCTACAATTCAGCAGCATAATCACAATGTATGAATAGATGGTCTATTGTTTCAGTGTTCTTGCCACACAGAGGACAAGTATCATCCAGCATCACCACTCCCAATTTATGTAGTCTCTCCTTAGTAAGTATTCTCCCCCTCCAACAGAGCCATAAGATGAAGCAGTGCCTGGGTATATTCAATCTGCTCCATATAGCCCATGTAGTTCTATGCCTGATCAGCATGCCTTTCAGGAACAAGTAACCCGAAGAAATAGTGTAACGACCATTTTGGAGTGCCTTCCATCTGCTTCCTTAGAATTCTTCCTTCATTTTATCTCGGACTATTAAGAGTTTTTCTATATGCCAACTAGAGTCTTGCACAGCTAGAACTTCCCAGAACCCATCTTTCTTTAAGTCAACTCCGTGGAACCATTCGATCCACAGATCCGCAGAAAATAGTTTTTTTTTGAAAAAAATGAATTTGAACTTTTTTTTTTTGGTTTTAGTATTCACTAATTATAAACCATTCAAATTTAAATATACGATCTAAATTTTTAGTATGTCAAATTTTATATATTGATTATTTCATTTCTATTTATCAAATTTGAAATGTATAATTTTCATTTAAATAAACAGATGAAACCATTACAATCGAATCAATAAATTTAATCTTCTTGTAATGATCTCATTACACAATCAATTTTTTAGTTAGTAACTTAATTAAAATATTTAAATATTGACATAAATAAAAATAAAAAATTGTAAATTTAGACTTGAACAATAATATTTAAACAGTGAAAAATAAAATAAAGTGCTATTTGTTTTTAAAATAAAAATATTAGAATTTTTTTTTTCTTAAAACCATATTTTGCAGAAAAAAATGTAAACTAAATTCTTATACAAACGGACATTAAAGAATAAAAATTCAAAATATAAGAAAAGTAAAATATTTTTAAAAAATTTACTTAGAGAAGACTAAAGCAAAAATAATAAAATCTCAAATTAAAATTTTTAATAAATATCATTTTGTAAAAAATCACTAAGAGAAGTGCTTTTAGAATGAACCCTATTAGTACTTGTCAACTAAATCTCCACCCAACAACGAAAACGCATCTATTTGCTCCAAAAGGACCACGAGCTCATCATCCAAGTTAAGAAACACCAACTCTTGAACAACGCTAGTCGTACAATTTGCAAGAAACCAAATTCAAACTTATGCACAAAATTAATGTCAAAAGATTAACACAAAAAAGAACTCTACTCGTTCTTATCAAATCATCATTCAAAATTCATCAAATCAACCATCTCGCACCCTACAAAAATTGGCCGAATGCCCCTATTTATAGTAGAGGGTGGCTGAAAATTCTCCTAAGTATTAGGAGAAGAATTTGATCTCTATCTTTATTTCTACTTTAATGAATTAAAAACTAAATTGACCTCTAATTTACAACTTGTGTCTTATCTATTAGGCAATGTAACTAGACACCTTTATAGACTTAAGACATACTACTCTAATGAAAATAAATCTCCTAATACCAAGATATATTCTCTCTGAAAGAATTTTTTTTTTTTTATCTTGATAAGAATTTTCCTAAGTTGTTAGCTCTACCAATATCTTCTTCATAGAGTAATCATAGCCATCCGATCTTGATGTACTCTTCATCCAACGGTTGAGAGTACACATCAAAGAATAGACTTCTTATTGTGTACAAACTCAAAAGTAGATGGAATCGTATCAAATCTTATCTTTCCATGAGTGTGATAAAATTTAAATTCTCTTATCCCTAAGAGTTCGAGATTCTTCGAACTCCTAGAAATTAGGAGATGAGGCATGTAAATTCTGCTTGAACCTAAAGTAAAAGATTAAAAATAAAAAAATCTAAATTAGCAAAATTCAAAAAGATCATGCACTTCATCTGCCGGCTTATTTGTCGACTTCCTCTGCTCGACTTATAAGTTGACGTTGTCTTGTCGACCTCATTATCGACTTTATTTTTGCTCGACGCCCACCACTCTTTGACTTCAGTCTTGCCTCATCCCTGATACAAACTCCAATATGATTCCCTTCAACCACTATATGATCAAAATCAATGTAATGGTTGTCATGGTTAGTAATAACCCATTTGAGGTCCATCCAGGATCACATCATTTATACATTTTTATGAATTGTTTTTTCTTAACTAGCAGTAAATTTGAGACCCTACTCAGTATCATGCCCCAAATAAAAGAAAAAATATGAAGGATGCTAAAGTAAAGATAATGAAAAGTATTAAATAATACACACTTTTTAATTAAAAATATTAAATACTACATGCTTTATGTGTTAGTGGCAAAGTTCAATTTCAAGACAGATGGGACGATCCAAATAGAAGTATAGTTTTCAATTTAAAGGCGAGAGCAACGATCCAAATAGAAGGAATGATTAAAACATATCATGATCCAATGCATCTTAAAGACCCGTGTTTTGTAATGCAATAAGCTAACTAATGATTGGGTAGAACTACTTGATGACATGACTATTTCTGCTGCTTCTCAAATACGACTACAATTTCTTCGTGAGTACAAAATCTCTCATGATAAATCTTTTCCGAATCAACTCGTGCTAGAAGCCTCTAGAATGTTAGCCTCCGCTGGTTAGCTGATATTCTACCGAGCTCAATGGCATGGCTGTTTCTTGGCCTAAAACTACCATATACACCTTTAACTCCTTCATTTTAAGAAAAGACATAATATTTCAAAGACTTGCAAAAATAGAAATAACAAGGCTAAAAGTTCATAGAGTAATTGGTAATTCAGATCAAAGTTCAAAACAGAGGAATTTTTTTAGTGAGAAAAGTGATAAACACAATCAACACATGCAGAAAATATAAAGTGTAGTTACTCAAACTTTATGTCAATTATTGGCATAATCAAAAAATAATTACTTGAAACCCCGATGGAAAAGTTAGAAAAGGAATGACCTGAGATCCCTATGTTCAAATATTGAATCTTTCGTGCTTTATGTCACCAAATATCCCAATTAGTTTCCCGATCATTTTTTTTGGCATGATGAGTTTTTTTATTAATTGTGGGAAAGATGAAGTATTGCTAGAAAAGTATAGAAACAGACCAAGTTCCACTGTATGTTCCGAACAAAGTTTTGTTTTACATCCGCTAGGAAAGCTAGTACGGAAATGCTCATGAAGTATTTGTCAAATAGAAGACCGATTTATTAGAAAAACACATATAAGGAACTATCTCAAAT